CAATTAAAGAAAATTTATCCGTCATAGCTTTGATATCTTCATCTGGTTTCATCCTGAAATTTTCATAGCTATAATTAAGAAGACTAATTTTGGTTTCTTTTACCTCGTCAGTTCCTTCATGTATGACTTGAAGCTTGTCCCATATCTCCTTGGCAGTTGAACAAGATGATATTCTCTCGTATTCATCTGGCCCAAGTGCACAAAATAGAATATGGATTGCTTCTGAATTGAGTTGGAATTTTCTCGTCTCTTCTTCACTCCACATCTCTGGTTTTGTGGATGGTTCAGAGTATCCTCTCATCATGATATTCTCTGCTCTCATGTCACTAGCTTGAATAAAGAACTTAATTCTATTCTTCCAATAGGCGTAGTTAGCTCCATTGAAGAAATGAGGCTTGTTGATGGGCTGAGAATCAAGAACGAACTCTAAGCTTGATATAGAGGCCATAGATGACTTAGATAACGATTAAACTCTTCCCGGATCTTCTCAAGAGGTAGTAAAACCTTCAAATGAGACAAGCTCTGATACCAATTATTGAGTCAATCAATCGGATGAAATAACAAGATGGTGAATTGAAATTTAAAATTTTGGTGGAGGCTTTGATAGAAAATAGAAATAATTTACACAACTATTTAGAGTGGTTCGACTTTCTCAACCAAAGTCTACGTCCACTACCTTAGCTATCCATACTAAGGATTTTCACAAATTTACTAATTTATCTTTCTTTTGAGGACAAAGAGTAACCTTACAACTCCCTCAAAAATTATACCCCAAATTCTTGAGACACTTTCTTCTCAAAGAGAAAATTACAAACTTGCAAACTTACAGAAAAACCTCACAAGGTAAGATGTTTGCACAATTCTAGAACAAAGAAAGAACACTCAAAAATGAATACAATTGAGCACAAATTGTGTTCTTGAAAGTAAAAAGAATATTAAATAGATGTTGGCTTGAATTGCTCAAACTTGATGTTTAAGGTTTTCTTTTTTATTTTTCTAGCTTTTCTTTGTGAATTCTTCTTCACCAATGGCTTCAAAACTTGTTTAAATACCCCTTGAATGAATTATGAACGTTGAGAATCATATTGGAGTCAATAGAGCCGTTGTAGTGTGAAATCCACTTGAAAAAGCTATTGGGAGCGTATGGGTATCAGTACACCACTAAGGGGTATCGACACTACCTGTATAAAATTCAAATACTTTAACCATTGCAAACCAACAGTATCGATACTGTCCAGGGAGTATCGATACTACTATGTACAGTAGTATCGATATCTTCCAATGAGTATCGATACTACTATGTAAAGTAGTATTGATACCGAACATGGTATCAGTACCCGTTCTGCATTCTATTAAAATTCAGAGTCAAAACCAAAGAGGTAGTATCGGTACCATGACCATGGTATCGGTACTACTATATGTAAGAATATTGATACTGTGTAGGGTATCGGTACTACCCTATTAAAAATCCATTTTTGACTCGATTATGGTTCAAAATACTTTGTAAAAATTATTTCAAAAATATTTTAAGTATAAATCTCAAATTTTCATTTAGTAAGGTGTAAAAATTGATATTTGAAAACTTGAAGTAATATTTGTAATATTCAAATAATTGAATCGAATATACTATTTAAGTCGAATATAAAATCTTAAAATTAATTAACATTTTATTTGTTATATCGAAATATCAAAATGTTTTCAAAAAATATTTTTAAGGTGAGATCTATAACATTAGTTTTTAGGATGTTGAGTTTGGAGGGAGAAATAAGGTTTAAGGAATTGATTTTGAGGAGGATTTGGATTATAATTCAATTCCTATTATCACTTTCGATGATATTCATGTGTTTATACATGTCAGTAATCAAGAAGTGAATCTAGAACCTCAATAAGGTTATTTTGAGCAACTTTCCATTTGAGATGAGAAATTATTTCTAAAGAACAAACTCAACAGCCTCAAAGAACAAGTGTCATTAAGAACATCCATGAGATGAGAGAAATATTATTTAGATTATTATGTTATATTTCTCCAAGAAATAAGGATGACAATGGAATGATGAAAGATTATCTAATCAACTTTTGTCATATCATATAAGTTCTGACTCTTAAAAGTGGATTATGCCATAAAGAAGAGTATAAGCTCTATACAAGATAATAAAATTTGAGAAATTGTCTCATTACTTGAAGGTGCAAAATTGATTAGTTGAAAACGAATATTTAAAATCAAGATGGATACAAAGGTTGAAGTTGACAGATATAAGACATGTCTTGTATCTAAAGGATATACTAAGGAAGTACACAATAATTTTGTAGAGAATTTCTTTGGTTTCATTAAAAGACTCTTTTAAGATAATCATGATATTTGTTGCTCATATTTGATATTGAATTATATAAGTTTGATTTCAAAATTATGTTTCTCAATGGTAGAATTGATAAAATGTTTTATACGGTTCGATCAGAAAATTGTGTCTGATGATACAAAATTAATGATATGCAAATTTAGGAGATCCATTTATGAGTTTAAGTGTGACTCTCGTTAGTTGTATAACAAATTTCATCAATTGATTATCTTATTTAGTTTTGAGATGAATTTGGTTAACAATTGTATATCTTATCAGTTCAATGGGAGTAAACAAATGATATCCCTTATTGCTAAAGGAAACAAGTTTAGTCCTAATCATTGTCCTAAAGATGATTTTGGAACTAAGGAAATGCAAAAAGATTCTTTATGCTTCAAAATAAATAAAAGTTTATTGTATACTCAGATTTATATGCATTCAGATGTAGCTTATGATTTTATGATATTAATTAGATATTTAAATAATTTGGGTATGAACCGTTGATAGTAGCCAAATTGATTCATATGATACATTTAAGAACAAAAATGTCACATATTCACATATCGTAGGTCTAGTAGGTAAGAGATCATTCGGTTTATGGACTCCTACTTATTAGAATATAGATGCAAAATTTTGTTACATGAACTGCTAATTATAGATTTATAAGAAAGACGAATTGAGTTATTTTGTGACAACAAAGTTACAGTACTTTGTTCCATATATAATAGAAACACTTTAAGTCTAAGCACATAGACATTATGTTTCTGGTTGTTAAAGAAAATTTAGAGTGATTATGCGTTTATAGAGCATATTCGTACAAACTTATAATTGTGCGTTTACTAAAGAACTGTCACCCAAGGTCTTTCATGGGCACACTACTCATATGGGTGTAATATCATTTAAGGATATTCGGTTTTAGACGGAGCTTGTAATTTTAATGCTCGTTTGTTATAGACCAAATTTTAGTTACTTCAGTTTAAAGATGTTTTTGTTAAAAGTTAATTTTTGCAGAAATAAAGTTTATTTGGTTTATCCACATTCTGATGTTGATCAAATTTGATCTTGCTAATGTTTAAAGAAGATCAGTTGTAAATAGACACGTGTAGTTCACGTCTCATGTAATTTCCATGCTACACTCCATGATTGATCTATGTCATTCGATTGTGTTTATACTTTTCATATTTATTATAATTTTGCCACCAACAATGGCTTTTGTTTGGTTTTGTTCTTTCCTCACCAATTTGGCTTTTGTATAGCTTCATTTTATTCAAACTTTGGGTAACTTTTACGCAGATGCACACTATCTTAGATGAGATAATTATGAGGGCTGTAGATATCTAAGTGCTCTCTCTTACGGGCATTTATATGATTTTTATATTGCTCCCATTTGCATCAATAATTATACAGATGGCCTTAATCATGATATACGATAGAAGCTGCTTCAAATGCTATCACACTCAATTTGCTTCCGGTTGGTTTGGGTAAGTAGGCAGTTCTGTATTCAAACGCTGTTAAAATTGATCCTTTAATTATTTTTTCTCACTGCGAGTTGATGAACCAACTTTTGATGACCATAATGCTCTAGTGTTTTCTTACTCGTCCACATTATCAAAAAGTTTCGAGATTTAACTAGTTATTTTTCTTATTAGCTTTAATGTGAGGCATCAAGTTAATTAGTGCTTATAAACTCCTTAGAGCATTAACTTTTTTGAATGGTTCAGATCAAAACAAATTTATTTTTAAAAAATAAATAAAAACTAAATTGTTAGGTATAATTTAAAAAAAAAATTACTTTTCACCAAGAAGAATAGTGTTTTTACCCAAAAATCACACAAATATTATAATATTAATCATCAGACACCTTTTTTTTAAATTTTACCGATCTAGCATTTCTGATAAGGTACATTACGTAAAACGCACATTTGCTTAAGTAGACCTACATGGCACCACATGGAAAGACGTGTTTCAAGGGGCGCGTCTTCCAGGATCCACATTAGATTCCCTAAAAGCATTTTAAAAAATATGCTTTAAAAAATTGAAAAACAAAATTTTAGAGACTACCATCATAATTTAATACATATTAGTTCCATGAGTTGAAGAGCTTAATGAAGTTAGTTTATATAGGCATATTGGAGTGTTTAGGTTATGTTTATTGACAATGTGGTATAAAAGCTAAAATGTGTATTCTAAGGTTTATATTAATTAAGATTAGATATTTTTATATGTTAATATATTTAAATAATTACATTAGGTTAATATTTATTATTAAGGTTTATACTAAATTAACTTTTGAAGCTAATATATATGATTATATCAAAGGGAAAACGATATACTCATGTAAGATCAAATATAAGATTAATTATATTCAGACTGCTCAAACGCCTTAAAATAATGTATGTTCTTTTGTTTTAAATGATAATGGATAATTTTCGTGTAATTTAATTATATGTTTTTGATATAGTAATTTGAGATAGAATAAGCTACAAGATATTCCTTTTGAAATTGACGAGATTAAGAGTCTAACACATCTGTAAACAGCACCTGGAAGTATTTGTTTTCACGTTATGATAATCACGATTGTTGTTCCCTACTAACTAGAAGTTTTGTTTCATAAATCAAATATGGAGTACTATTTTATAAACTTTTCTGACATAATATTGGCTTTCTTTTAAATGAAATTTGGAAACCATCAAACCCTGCTTACGTTGCCAGTATGGAATCATTCGCCAACTTATGTAAATTTTGACACCGTTGCAGACGGAAAGAGTTGAAGAAGCTTGAATCATACAACAAACCCATGATACCCTCTAGTTATGAGTAGGAAAACATCACGTCCTAAAAAGGAATAGTATGTGTGGTTATTTGTTCAGAATGGGCGAGCTGGATACTCTTTGAATTTCCTTGATGATTAGCTCTTTTTCCTCTTCAAATTCCTCATCTTCTGCACCTACAATGATACACACAAGGGGTGGTAGGTAACGAGATATTATTCCAACTCAGGTGTATATATTAAGACCCAAGTCAGAGGATTGGGTTAAGAACCTTTCCCTGAGAGATTTTGAAGAAGTTGTACCAATTTTTCATGGTTCTTTGCCAGAATGATCTTTATCTCTCTTGGCTTGTTAGGATTAGCCACAAAAACCTGCAATCTCAATACAACATTCAAACGATCATTGCTATAAATATCTGGTTACCCAACAAACCAACTGTAGCTAATCGAATCCAGTTTGTTCCGTTTCTCGTTTTTATTCGGTTAGATAGATAGTTCGGTTTTAACCAATGTTATTTGAAGCCTTCATTCTTCTTCAAAAACCCGTGTCCGATGCACGCTTGGAAATGTGATACTCCAAAGGACCTCTAAACACATGGAAATCTTGAAATAAATTGAACATTAAAAAAATTATACAAAAAAAAAGGTTTTAACAATTTTAAATATCCAAGTCCACTTACATTTGAAAATGCATTTTTTATAATTGAATATAATTAATACGAAACAGAAAAATGGGTTTGGCTTAATGGCATAAAATCAATATTCATTAATTTTACAAATACGATTTTTTTAAATAAAAAAAGGGTAATTTAATGATTGGAGAGATTTTGTACTAAAGACCAACTGCAACATAGGCCACCAGTTCGGCCAGCCAGTCCAATCCTGCTTTTAAACCCAATTAATAGACTGGTGTGGTGTTCATGAGAGAGAGAGAGAGAGAGAGATCACCTTGAAAATGTGGAAAGCAGAAATTTGAATGTTTTTGCTTGAATCCTGCATGACAAAACGAGCGGAAAATCATATAACAAACGATTTTGAACAAGTTCTTGATGATTTAATATATTTATTTACCAGGGAAGCACAGGTTTAAAACTTGTCAGACAATTATTAAAAAAAAAATTGTCAGACAAACAAGTAAAACCTTTGTTATTGGAACTCGAATGTATCAGATTTGGATGTGTCATTTAATATTTTTCTTAAAAAAGTATTTGGAGGATCATATCCACACACCCATGTCTGAATATATGTAGTACACAAATGTCGAGGCATGAGTCCTTCAAGCAAAATGAAGAGTCGGAACAACATAGAAACAAGGCCAATCTATTCAAAACTTGAATGGCCAAATTAATTCAGGTAAATCAAAACTAACACCATGCAGTCCTGCTTTATGTTATTTTGACTTCTTTTTAAGGAAATACAAAGAGTATGGTTGTTGAACAAAGAAATCGTATGAGCAAGAATTTGGGACTACCAATTCAACTCAATTAACATTGACAGGATCATACAGAAGCAAAAGTAAAGTTAATAAGAATGTACCCTCAGTAATGTCATCATGGTTTTCAAATTTTGAACTTCTAAAATGTAGCGCTTCATTATCTGCGAATTCGGAGCCTCCAAAAGAAAATCCGATAGAAGCTAAACCAAAAAAACATTGCATTAACAATAAACACATCAACAAAGCAAAATCAGAAGGAAAAGAGAGAGAGAGATTGAGAACTGACCTTTAAAGATTGCCTTCTTGTCACATAATTGGAAGATGTCAAGAGTTTTTCATATAGATCAAAAAACTGGAACAATGCTATCACATTAGATAATCCAACAGTGAAAACGGAAAAGGAATATTTCATCGAACTTAAGGGAAAAGATCCACACAAATTCATCCCAGGTAATCATAGCCTGTCCCTTACTGTAAGGGTGCATTCAATATAAAACAATCCAGAAGAAATTTTAAGTTGAGCAAGAGATCTTAGTTGAATCATTTAATCAAACATAAGGTCCTAAAGCAAAATTGGGCTCCGGCAAGATCATTTCGGAGGCCGCATAAGATATGAGGGAGTGTCAGAAACAGTTTGACACAGCAGAATACGTGCAGACACGTTAGGACAAGTTAAAAAATAAATGTATACCAGACACTGTAGAAACATGATTAAAACATGAAGGAAAATCCTGGATACATCCAGACACAAAATGAAGTTTTGTTTCATTTATTTACCATTATTTCAAATTTTCTCCCAAATGCGGAATCAACAATGAGGAATTTTGGTTAAAATGGGTTTTTGAGGTTCAAGTTTTTAGATTCGAAAATTGAAAAGCATAAATTTCACATTTTTATATAATTTATTATTTAAAAAAAATTATGCTCTGCACTGCCATACGTGCCCTAAATTTTCCATACTTTCTGTGTCGTGTTTACATTGTACACGTAAAATGTGTCTCTGTCCATCCTATCTAAGATTAAACAAAATGTAAATATACCTCATTGTAATGACCATTCAAATATTCAGCTACCAATGATGCATGTTTTGTAAGGATATCCTGAGAAAATTCAATCAAACACTCATAAGACAAAGAAAACATGGAACCCAGAAATATCTTTAGTTAATCTAACAGTAAGACTTTAAAACTAACAGATCGAACCTTAAATGTTGAAAATGCATCAGAAGCAACATCAAAGTTGGGCAACTCCACAAATTTGAAGAACAACACAAAGCTAGGAGAATTTATTATGTATCTGTAAAAGCACTACAAAATTTAAAAGGTGGAAAAGTGAAACTTGTTTTTTCAGTAAAGAAATTTTGCACCTAAAACATGAGTTTAAAATGAAGTGCCTGAGCAGCCAATTTTTCGGTCCTCTAGTTTATTTGGACTAGCTCATAGACACAAACCAGCTAAGGGTTAGACAACTAACCAAAGCAGCGTCAACTTGTAATACTCGGGTTTGGGTGTCTGACATTGGTATGCGTCTGATATAGGTATTTTCGATTTTTCTAAGATTTCCATATATTTGAAGGATCCTAGAGGATCATATCCGAAAAAGGTATTTCACGAAAAAATTGAAAAAGTCAGCGCAACACAGAGTGGCACTTCGAAAACAAGCAACAGCCTAACAGGGCGCCAATGTCTATATTAGTCCTGAATTATCCAGAATGCGAGGTTTTTTACTCAAAATCTTCATGATATGCTTTACAGTTGACCTTTTAAAGTAGCCCAAAGTAAAATATTAACAAGTTTATCTTTGGGAACCAAATCTTCAAGTTAATACCATCATAAGATGTCGAAAGTGGTAATTACTGGGACTACTAAAAACTATAGTTATATGCGAGTGTTTACCTGAGAGCGACATATTGCATGCACGCTCTGCTTTTTCACTAAATCGAGCCTAAAATTTAAGCTGGAAACTATGTCACTCAGACTTTGGTGTAAATATTGGAAATGGTATGCATCCAAACAAGTATGTTCAATTATTTGAAAATTTTCATGTATTAGGAGGGTCACTGGAGGATTATATCCCTATACCTACGTTCGGACATGAGTCAGACGCGAGTGTCGGACACATGGACTTCAATCATATGGGAAGAATAGGGATGTGGACATTGATTGCAATCAAGGTAACATACAAAACTCACCAAAAATTTAGATGAGATAGAATACAATAATTTTAGAGAGTTCACATAGAAGGAAATACATTTCATTTTCGGAATAATATATGATCATCGTTGAGGATGAAGCAATGTTTTTAATCATTCCAACAGTTTAGCAACATCATTAAGTACTTCTATCATATGAAAGAATAGCCATACAGCTTAAATGTCTTACTTTGCAAGTGTTGGAAATTTGATGCACTCCCTCAACATATTTCCGCAATTTAAAGCTATTTCCTTGTTATCATAGCTGCTAGCAAAAACAGAAAGAAGACTTATACACCCAACTATAAAGATTCAATAGGTGCTACGATTTAGGTCATTTATTTCAGTATAAATACTGGATTACTGGTCAATACATTTAAATCAGTTTTATGCATATTGGATAAGCAAAACAGCTATGTTATTTGGACTCTAGTACGAGCGGCAATATGGGCATGTATGTTTATGTTTTTGTAAGTTTTACTATGAATGTAGAGGGCCCTTGGAGAGTCAAAACCCAGTATTAATGTCTTAATATGTGTCGGACATGGGTATTTTTGGAGAAATAAAGACTTGGAGCAACATAGACAGACAACAAACTATATAGATTTTCAAGCTACAAAAGGGCATGTACATAGATAAACAGTATGACATTCATAAACATACCAAACTACAAGAAAGTCAAGTAACTCCCAATTTTTCTCAATGTATTCCACACAGCAATATGTGGAATCAACTTGTTGCTTCAAAAATATGGACCAACAGTGGACTAAATCTTTTCTTGCCTGAAAAACATATACTACATTATAATGCTTATGAATAACAAGATACAAGCCACAAAATTAAAATTTTCAACAGTGCTTACTTCCCATCCCAGTGTCGGTAACTTGTGAATAACAAGAGAAATAATATCCTCTTTTGAGATTTCAAATGCCAACTGTGAGACCTGTTCAACATTTGGTTCAACCTCACCATCTCCAGAAAGCATGCATCTCATCACTGCAAAATTCTTTTCAACTTCTTCCATAGCCTAAGAACAACATAATAACAAAACTGTCAATTTCCAAGTTCTTAAACATATAAATTGGTAATTTACAAAGAACTCAAATACGCGTCTGCAGTCCATTCTTGATTTCATTTTTAAACATAAACCTCATCTGAAACAGAATGCCAACACTTTATTTAATCTGCATTGTATCAAAAAGCAGGTTAAAACAGCATCAATCCCATAAGACAGCAACAGCAGGCAGATACCGAGCAAGCATTACCCTTTTTTGTTCCATAAGTAGAACTTGCACATTCCACTTGGGAGGTTTCGAGTTTAAGTTTTTAAAGCTCTCAAGGGGAAACAAAAACTTTTCATTTTTCTTGAAGTGCTCATGTTCCAGAGATACTGTCGGACACATTTACAGACATCGGAGCTTCTAAATACATGGGGAAAAAAACACATGTGCCAGACACATACTCAATCCGATACTCAAACATGAATGCGAGTAACACGGCTTTATATTATTATTACACAAATAAAACATTAGTTCATATTATAACGACTGACATTTACATACACTATAGCAAACATCGTAATGACAGTCAATAGCATTTTCATGAGAGGAAACATGGGGCTACAAACACAAGAACATCGAATTAAAAGGCATAGAATGGGGGGGGGGGGATACCAAACAACCTACAAAATCATAGCCAAAAACATAGTCAAATGAAATATTTCCAAAAGCCCATTTCACAATTTCAATATTAAACCAAATCCAAGAAGAAAAAAATGAATGAATGAATGAAATTACATCAAATTTAAGTATTAAAAACTCAGAGAGATCTTTTTTTTAACCTTTTCAAGGGCTTTAACTTCAGCAACTGTTTTTGCATCGAGTGCATTAAGGCTGTCTTTGATCGCTTTGGCAACCTCTGGTGGGGTTTTGGGCCTCGACGGCTTGAAGAATGAGAAAGACATGTTCAAAAATTGCTGAAATAATATGATTTTACTCAAAATTCAATAATCTCTCAGTTGCGCTTTGATTTAGAATTTGCAAATTGAGGAATGGTGAAAGGATCAGTTGATCTGTGTTTGATCATTGATACTTCACACATTTGTTTTCTCGGTAAAAGCTGGGGTTTTTTCTTTTTCGCCAATTCAATGGGAATTTAGAAAATACAAAACTTAGCTGGAAAATGTTTGCATTTCAAGGAGAAAGGTCAAATGGGTCGGTTCAGAATTAGATATGTTAGAAAAAAGTATTTTACAGGGTAAACTACATCAAATGGTTATTACTGTTTGAATAAATTTTTGTCTTCTGTAATAAAATTTTAAACGAAATAAATTGATCATTAATATTATTAATTTATAATAAAATAGTAATTAATTTTATAAATTTATGACAAAATGATCCTCGACCACCATCTCTGTTAAATTGATAACGTGAAAACACTAACAAAAGGAGTATTTGGTTGGATAAACTACCTAAATAGTCTTTTAATTTTCGTACTCTTTTACTCTCCAAATTCTAAAAAAAGTAAGTTTTTGATCACTTATGTTATCATTTTATTAAATTTTGATCATTGAAACGTTAAATGCCGTTAAGTTGATGAAATGACACGCTAATAAAAAGATTAAAATTTTATTTTAACCCCAGAATTTTAGATAAAATACTAATTTAGACCATTTTGTAAACCCAAAATAGTTTTAAGTACATTTTTTATGCACAACCATAGTTGGCGGTCGGTTACCCTTCAATGTATAAGGTGTTTGAATGAAAATTTGGGTGAAAAAGACATGAATTCACCTCTATAATTTGTTGTGAACTCGATTTGCAGAAAGGGAATCTCAATATCCCATGCTGAAATGCCTGATGTTTTAAGTTTATGGCATTAAAGGCACCAAGTCATCAACACTTCCCCATTGCATTCTGAAACTCAACCAGCTTTGCCCTTTCATTTCTTCCTTATGCAAATACAGCTAGCAAGTTCAATTTTAATGATGCTTTGATTTTTACCATCTTCATTAGATTAACATGACTTGTTTCCATCTGTATTTCCTTCCTGCCTCTTCTTCTGCTTCCTCCAATTTTTAATTTCCCGGTGAGGTAAAATCTTTAAACTCAATTCTGGGTCTTTTTCTTTCACTGTTAGAAATTCGATTTGTGTTCTTCACTGCCTCTGGTACATCTTTAGGATTCTTCACTGCCACGAATTCAAATGGCCTCTCATTTTTCAGAAAAAACAATCAATGCCAATGTGACCAAATTGCTACTTTTAAAAGTTTAGTGGTTAAAACGAAAACTTATTCAAATATTAGTAATCATTTGTGTAATTTACCCTTTAAATTTTATATATTCACTGTGTTACGTCAGTAATTCATTAAATGTCTAACAACAATTAACACTCAATGATCATATTTCAATTAAATAAATATGAAAGTGATCAAATATTATATTTTTTTAAAATCCAATGAGGAAAAATGTGAAAATTTTAAATTAAATTGTCAATCTTGTAGTTTACCCTGTTTTATTTTACTCATAAATTATTGCTAAAATTTTAAATAAGTCATTCGACAATGATTTTATATCTAATTTATCCTATTATTTTCTAATTTTCAATTTTTTTTCAACTCTTATTCAGTTATTCTTGATTATTGTTATCCTTGGAGCTAGATCCTACTCTTAAGAGTATTGTGAGTCCTCGATTCAGCCAAAAAATTAGCAACTACTAGATCATATCCTAAGTAAGCTTCATTTTTGTAAGGTATGACTCATAAATATACCGGTAAAGAGGACAGGGGATGGAGCGGAGTGAGCGAAGCGAACGCAGCGAACATCAACTGTCCTTACAATGAAAGTCTCGTAGAGGGGGTTACGATTATGTGGGTTGGGGTGCGGGGGGTGCGCCCCCGCGGTACGGTACAGGGTTAATTTTGGAATTATGTACCAGGGTTTTCTATTATAAATAGAGATGTAACCTAAACCTATTATCATTGAATAAAAAATTTTCTAGCGCCGCCTAGGCACCGAGGACGTAAGCACATTGTCGAACCTCGTTAAAATTCTTGTGTTCTTTCGTTTACTTTGCCCGATTTATCAACAATTGGTATCAGATGTTAGGAGCAAAATTCGAAGTTACGAAATTCGATGGTCTGGGTAACTTCGAATTATGGAAAACGAGGGTGAAGGATCTGTTGGCGCAGCAGGGGATCTTTAAGGCTTTGCGACCTACAAAGCCGGCGTCGATGGAGGAGGAAGATTGGGAAGAATTGGCAGGAACCATACGATTATACTTGGCGGACGAGGTTATGTATCACGTCATGCATCTATCGTCTCTAGACGAAATTTGGAGGAAGTTGGAAAGTCAGTTTATGTCCAAATCCTTAACGATAAAACTGTATCTAAAGCAGCGGCTGTATGGGCTGAAGATGCAGGACGATCATGATTTGGCGCAACACGTGAATGTCTTCAATCAAATCGTTTCTGATTTGGCTCGGCTTGATGTAAAAATTGAGGATGAAGACAGAGCGATGATTTTGTTGTGTTCGTTGCCTCCCTCTTACGAACATATGGTGACTACTCTTACATATGGGAAAGAGACTATCAACGTTGAGGAGATTACTGCAGCCTTGTTGGCTCATAACCAGCGGAAGCAGAATGCAGGGGAAAACTCTCAAGCCGATAGCTTATATGTCAAGGGTAATCGAGACCGTGGACGGAAGCCAGAGAAGGTAGGGTCTGGCAAGCGGAATTCCAGATCCAAATCTAGGGATAAGAAGACAATTCACTGTTACAAGTGCAAGGAGGCGCGACATATGAAGCGAGACTATTCGAAGTTGAAAAAGCAGACTGATGAGAAGCGTGATGTTTCATCCAAGTCTGTGAACGTGGTCGAGGATGACAATTCTGATTGCGGTGAGGGTGATATGCTTTCTATTTCAACGACTCAATTGACGGATGCGTGGATTCTTGATTCTGGATGTTCTTATCACATCACGCCAAATAGGGAATGGTTTTCGACATACAGGTCGGTTAATTCTGGTTCTGTTTATTTGGGTGATGATCGATGTTGCAATATTGTTGGTATTGGTGATGTCAGAATTAAGGTGTATGATGGCTCTGTTCGGACGTTGAGTGGTGTTCGACATATCCCAGATTTGAAGAAGAATTTGATTTCTTTGGGCACTTTGCAAAAAATTGGTTTTATCCCTAAGGCTGATGAGGATAGGGAAACCATTCGGATTGTTAAAGGTGTTTTGACTGTGATGAAAGGAAAGATGACTGCAGGAAATATTTATAGATTGTTAGGGAGTACCGTTGCAGGTGGAGTTCATTCTGTTGAGTCATGTGATGATACTACAAAACTGTGGCATATGCGTCTTGCTCATCTTAGTGAACGTGGTATGACAGAATTACACAAAAGAAATCTGTTGCATGGTGTCAAAAGTTGTAAGCTCGATTTTTGCAAGTATTGTGTTCTTGGTAAACAGACTAAAGTCCGTTTCAAGACTGTGAAGCACACAACTCAAGGGATTCTTGATTATGTGCATTCTGATGTATGGGGGCCTTCCACGACATCGTCTTTGGGTGGATCTAGGTATTATGTTACTTTTATTGATGATTTTTCACGGAAAGTTTGGGTGTATTTTTTGAAACAGAAATCTGAAGTTTTTGAGAAGTTCAAGCTGTGGAAAAGTGAGGTAGAAAACCAAACAGGACGAAAAATCAAGTGTTTACGGTCTGACAATGGTACGGAGTACACAGATTCACAGTTCTTACACTTCTGTAAGGAGCACGGGATTAAGAGACATTTTACAGTGACCACAACAGAATGGTGTTGCAGAACGGATAAACAGGTCGTTGAATGAAAGAGCCAGATGTTTGCGGTTGAATGCGGGGCTTCCCAAACACTTCTGGGCCGAGGCTGTTAACATGGCGTGTTATCTTATCAACAGATCGCCAAGGGCATCATTGGCTGGGAAAGTTGCAGAAGAGGTATGGACTGGTCATGATGTTAGTTTTGATAACTTACGGATTTTTGGTTGTCCTGCTTATGTGCATGTACCTGCTGATAAGAGATCCAAACTTGATGCAAAATCGAAGGAGTGCATTTTTCTGGGTTACAAGATAGGTGTCAAAGGATTCAAGTTCTGGGATCCAGTTGCGAAGAAAATTATGATCAGTAGAGATGTTGTTTTTGATGAACAATCCATGTTGCAACAGAAGAAAGACACGACAGTGGTGGATTTCGAGCAGTTTCCAATTGAGAAACCAGAAACGTCTCAACCGACTTTTGGTGGTTCCACTACGGATGATTTGCAGGATTATAGTCTCGCCAGAGACAGGGTGAGACGGACGAATATAAAGCCTCCGAGTAGATTGGGTTTTGAAGACTTGGTCTCTTTTGCACTTATTGTTAGCAGTGATGATCCGATTACTTTTCATGATACTGTTACTAGTCAGGAAAACGACAAGTGGATGGCAGCCATGGTTGAGGAGATGGAGTCTTTGAATCACAATCGTACATGGGAGTTGGTTCACCTTCCTGAGGGTAAAAAGCCGATTGGTTGCAAATGGGTGTATAAGAAGAAACCAATAGTAACAGAAAAAGAGGGGGAGAAGTTCAAGGCTCGTTTGGTAGCAAAGGGTTTTTCACAGCAGAAAGGAGTTGATTATGATGAAATCTTTTCTCCTGTGGTCAGGCACACTTCAATCCGAGCAGTACTTGTATTGGTGGCCAGTTGGGATTTGCATTTAGAGCAGATGGACGTTAAAACTGCTTTTTTATATATTGATTTAGAGGAGCAGATCTACATGCGGCAACCTGAAGGTTTCACTCAACCTGGAAACGAGCTTTTATTTTGCAGATTGAAGAAATCTTTGTACGGGTTGAAACAGTCTCCGAGACAGTGGTATAAACGGTTTGACTCCTAAATGATCAAGATTGGCTACAACCGATGTGAGTATGATTGTTGTGTCTATGTTAAGAGCCTTGATGATGGTTTTTTTATTTTTCTATTACTGTATGTTGATGATATGTTGATTGCTGTGAAGAACATGGATGATGTTATCGGTTTGAAAACTTTATTGAGTCAGGAATTTGATATGAAAGATTTAGGTGCTGCAAAGAAAATTCTTGGAATGGAAATTTGCAGGGAC